CCCAGTCCCTGAGTCACCATTCCAGCAGAGTTGCCAATTGTTGGCACTTGATTTATGACTCAGATACCTTGTTCCAGGCGGACCCAAACCCTTGGACTAACCATGACTTTTCCATTCAATAATAGGCAAATTTTATTAATATACAGTGATAGCAGGTAAAAATAATACAGACAATTCTATATCTACTAGTCCTAGGGCTGTCATCAGAGTCAAGGTACATCTGGCTAGGATGCAAGCTTCACTTTTAGGTTCTCTCTTGAATGTCAGCAGCCCAGAGGTTGGAGGCCAAGGCCCACGCCCACTCTAGTGGGGTAGATGAGACAGGCTGGTGGTATGCCCTCTGTCCAGGGTGCCTCGTGTTCCCCTCTCGGGGACCTTTGTTCTGAAATCCCTTCTTTTGTATTCTTTTCCCCTCAGGATGACTCTTCATCCATGGGCATCACTGACTGGTCTTTCTGTGGTCGTCATACTTTCCACGTTCTGTCCTGTCAACACATTCCTTTGTTTCACAAGCCCATCATGTGCACACATCCTAATTTGGACTTTACCTGTGTCCTCCTAATTTGGTCTATTTTGCAAATCCGGAAAGCCAACTCTCATAATTTTTAGCGTTGTTCTTAAAGTCTACATTTCAGGAATGTATAAAAGTTAGCCCGTTCTTTTATTTATATAAATAATGTGTGTGTGTGTTTATATACATAGATGTATATAAAAAAGAAAGAGCTAAGTTTTTTTCCACATTCCTGAAACGTAGACTTTAAGAACAATGCCAAAAATCATGAGAGTTGGCAATACTGTAATATTGCCAGCTGTATCAAACAATCACCTGTTGACTTCACTTTTGGAAGTGCATGCAACATGTCTACACCTCCACAGTGAAAATGAATTGCAACAAAGTGTAAATGGAATCGGATGCTTTGGTGACTGTAATGAATCGCTTCTGAGCATGTGCAAGTGGGCAATCTTAGTCACATAGATATGTAAGAAATGTGGATGTATTAGCAGAACTTTTTTTTGTGGCTAGGTGTCTAAAACCTATGAAAGGGCCACATATTGAAACAGAATTTTGCCCTTACCCTCCTCTTTGCCTCATTTCTCTATGCGTAAAATGGGATGATGCATGAATGCTATAAGGATCAATCCTTTGAAGACTGTAAGGTACTCAGATTATAGTGATGGCGCCTGCAAATACCAAACAGCAGGGTTGTTTAACTAGTGGCCTGCAGACTGCATGCAGCCCCAGGGGGTTAATCTGTGGGCCCCAGAGCCACCCCACTCCCCCCGGCTACTGCTCCCCTCATCACTCTGGCTGTTGCTGCAGCCAGGGTCTCCAGGCTCCCCCTCTCTTCTCTGGTTTTCGCTTCTTGTCCCCAGCCTATGGGGTAGGACAGGCAGGGCAGCATAGCTCAGTAAGGCTTGCAGTGCTGTGGCAGCATGACAGCCTGCAGCCAAAAGGGTGAAGAAGGGATACCCACCCATGTGTGCAGTGCATTGGGTTGGGAGGAAGAACCCTTGGGCACACAGTACAGAAGCTGGAGGGTTGGGGGAGGAAGCCATCCACGTGATGTCAGGGGAGCTTACAGACAGGAAGGTGATATGGGGGCATGAACCCTGCTGGTGCGACCCCCATGGCATGCAGCCCCTGCAGTGTGTGGCCCCCAGCTGCTAAGAGGTTGGACAGCCTTGCCTATGATACTCTGGCTTTGACTTCTGGTTTGGCCCCTGGCTTACTCTGACTCCAGGTTGGACTCCTGGCTTACCCTGAAGTTCATCTTAGATTCCTGACTTACTTTGAATACTGGTCTTGACTGCTGGCTGTGTAACTCCTGATTTACCACGAACCCCAGCTTCAACTTCTGGCTCTCCGTGAACCCAGTTTCTGGACTTTGCCCTACTAACCAGGTGACCTTCCCCAACTGCCTACACTCTGGTCCCTAATATTTAGGTGTTTCCAGTCATGCGTATAATGGTTCCTCTTGATATGAAATGTACTTAGCAGACTTATCTGTAAGTCAGCAAAGTTTTTGGGTGGAAATTTTAAAGGATACTAATAATTTATGAATATCAGCAACATTTGTTGTTACGCAGCAAAAAGAACAGTAATTGCTTCTCATGCTTTAAAGAATGAATAACATAATTATTATAGAGTTGATTAAGAAAAGCTTTCTTGCATGAACATCACTGTACAGCTGGTTAAGGGAAGTTTTTACCTTCTTCTGAAACAGGTGTCTGATGCAGCTGGAAGCAAGAAGCTGAACTTGATAACATGATCCTGTATGTCA